ACTCACAGCCCCATTCTCACACCATTCACAGCCCCATTCTCACACCATTCACAGTCTGCCCCCTGCTTACAGTTGCATCCCATTAAATCCCAAACTCATTTAAACATACATGTGTGAATTTAAGTGGTGCATAGCACACATGTGCTTGGTGTCAGCAAACCTGGACATTCAGAAATATAAGGATATAGGCAGTCATTTTGACAACTGCTGTCAATGCCAGTTCAAAAGGTAAATGTAATGGTCACATAGCCAGATGGATAAGGTATTGGATTTCAGTGTTAATCAGACAATTATTAGAAGATGACAGATTCAAGTACTGCTACCGTTAATTTCTGCAGATATACCTGTTTTGAAGGGTCCTTATGGTAACATCCCTCTGAGCTGGAGGGGGCCTGGATTCAAGTCCCACCTGCTCCAGACACATATCAATATGCATATGAACAGGTTGTTTAAAATATCTATGAGGTAAGGATGCTGGGAGGGTAGCGTGCCAGTTGGGTACTGTGCCAGGATGCCAGATGAGTGGGTGACAGGATGGCAGCTAGTGTGGGTTTAGGATGCGAGGTGGATAGGGTACCACTTATGGTAGGGTTAGGGTGCCAGGTGATAGGATGCCAGATGAGTAGGGGTAAGTTCCAGACAGGTAGGTGCCAGGATGCAAGACAGCAAAAGGCAGATAAGTGTTTAGGGTAGATCAGGGTGTGCTGGAGAAATCAGATCCGGCAAGGGAGGGGTGGGGTCTGGTCTGGCATGGGGAGGGCACAGCAGGGGTGTTGGATAATGTCCCATGGTAGACACTGGAATGGTTTGGTCGGAGGGGGGCGCATTCTGATGGCTTTAGCAGGGGAGGGTTCAGTACTTAGGGAGTGTTCTGAGACTGGGGAGGGTCCAGCTGAGTTGGGGTTGTGTTGGGTCACGGAGGGGGAGTTTGTCAGGTCCTGAGGGTGTTGTTGGATCCCAGTGTGCCAGGTCAAAATCTTTGGGGAAACGGTCTGGGGGTAGTGCAGTTGGGGTTCGTGAGTGAGGTAAGTATGCGATCAGTTTAATAATTACTCAGGAGTTGCACTATATATTTAATTGCCCCTGAGTAACTGTTTTACTTTATTTCATCCGACCCATCCAAGGTCCCCAGTTTTTATGGACACTTTTGGAGGGTTCGAGGAATAATAGAATTGCCCACAGAAGTACTCAAATTTCCAGTCAATTCCTTCAGGTGTGCTACAGTAGGGATGCTGCTACTTAGACAGGCATAACAACTGTCCAGTCAATGGGAAATCTGCCCCATAGAGTTTTATTGCACAGAAAGAGACCCTTCAGCCCATCATGTCCACGCTGGTCATCAAATATCTATCTATTCTAATCCCACTTTCCAATATGTGTCTTGTAAATAACTGTGTTTCAAGTGCTCATCCAAATAGTTCTTAAATGTCTCGTGGAGTCCTGCCTCTACCACCTTTTTAGGCAGTGAGTTTCAGGTACCTGCCACCCTCTGGGTGGAAAAAAAATCTCAAATCCCCTCTAAACCTTTTGCTTCTTACTTTAAAACTGTGCTCCCCGGTTATTGATTCCTGAATAGGAGAAAGGATTCTCCCTATCTATGACTGTCACAACTTTGTGCATCATAATCAGGTTCCCCCTCTGCCCAGGCAACATCTGTTTAGTGCAATGTTGACGTCTCTTGAAATGTCACAGATCAACTTATTACTTTCTTCTAACATTAAGAGGGGGAAGAGGCTTTGGGAAGGGAAATAGAAGGAGTAGAAAATTGAACTGCAGAAAAATGAAAGATTTATTCAAGATCACAGGCTGCTCAAGCTTTACAGAAATATTTAACATTTCAGGTCAACGATCTTTCACCAGAAAGGTAATGTATGTTAAATAGAGGGAGGGTAGAAAAAACAAAAGGGAAGGACTGAGATAGGGTAGAAAATAAGAGTGATTGAATGACAAATGTTGATTGTGCAAGGAAAATGGAGCGGTAATGATCAGGAAGCAAGGGTTGCATGCTGAGGGTAGCCATCCAAAAAAGAAACAAGAGAAAACTGAGATTAAAAAAAATCGCCATTCTCTTCCCTTCCTCTGACTTTTCTCTATCTCTATTTCTGGACCTAGGGCATATATCAATAAATTTTCACAATGAGTTCCTTGACCCTCACTACTCAATCACACTTCCTGATAGTCCACTTCCTGAAATGACTTTTCCTATTTTCCAAATGTTCATCAGTCTTCTCTAGACACAAACCTCTTTACGTGTCCCATTACCTTTGGACTTACACTATTAACTGTTTTGTCATTTATGTGTGTTTGTTGAAATAAGATGTGGGAAGAAAGAAAACACAACTGCAATACAAGCCAAAGATATAGATCTGGTTAATGCTGAGTGGAAACTCAAAAACGCATTCATATATTTTCACAGATAACAAGGTGTAGAGCTGGATGAACACACAGTCCAAGCAGCATCAGAGGAGCAGGAAAGCTGATGTTTCAGAAGGGTCTAGGCCCGAAACGTCAGCTTTCCTGCTCCTCTGATGCTGCTTGGCCTGCTGTGTTCATCCAGCTCTACACCTTGTTATCTCAGATTCTCCAGCATCTGCAGTTCCTACTATCTCTCATATATTTTCACAGTTGCTATTCTTCTTGTTCTTCTTCATCCATCAGCATCAATCTGTATTTCTTTGGCCTTCACACAACCTTCGAGTTCCACATCCTTATCATTCAGTATGAAAAGGATTTTCCTCTCAATTCCTTTTTTGATTTTCAGATGACTCTTAATAGCTTTCAGTTTTGTTCTTCACATGTGGAAACACTTACTCTGTCTACGCTATCAAAACCTTACATAAAGACTGTATTTTATCATCTTCCATCCTTCT